TGATATATTTCATTAAATGATTTTATAAATTTTTTATCAGGGGGGGGGTGTAAATGTGGTCCATATTAAAAAAAAAAAAACAAACAAAGGCTCAAATAACTTAGTAACTAGTAACTTAGTGTGACATGTATTAGTTAACTTCTGAACTGAAATCAGTAGGTAATTTAGAAAAGCATTTTTAAAGTTGAAATTTAACTAACGATTCTTATCATGGTTTTAGAAGAGGGTTTTTCCAGACTAACTTTTGTTTTTACATTGTAACTTGCATAAGACCATTTTGTCCTATAAAGATGATGCTCCAAAAAAACTTGTCAGCACAACCAACCTGGGTTAAATATTGGGTTTTACATCATTATACTTATCAAATAAATTTGATTTTGAAGTTAATAGCAGGCAAACATTTTCACAGGCAGATAACTTGTTACATCTCTTATTTAAGCTCCTGTTTTTAACTATTATTCCACTAAAACATTCCACAGGCAGTGTATTCAAGTCCAAATTTAATCTATTTTCTATTGATCAAGAGAACTTTTCAAAGTGTTGAAATCATTATTCATAATTAAACTTACTTAGACTAGATATCATTTTAATAGCCATTTTATGCAATTATTTTCAATATATTGGTATTTTGCCTTTAAAAAGGGGTCTAAGAGGTTTCACATAAGAATGCATATCCCAGAATTGTTAGCTCTCTTTAACATAAAAACTTTAGCTATGCTATAAAGGAAGTATAAAGGCTAAAATGTTTTTGTTTGGAACATAATGTGTGACTTAATGATTTCGGTATATCAAATGGTTAGAGGCTTGAATGAACTAATTTTAAGAGGGCTATACAACAAGTGATCCAGGTTTGTTAGAAGTACAAGTTTATGTAATACTGTGCTAGGTGATGTGCTATTAATTAAGGTTTCTTGAAACTCTTGCTGTTTAGCTATATGAATGTGAAGAGCTTATTTGAAATTTGGTAGGAAAAGTGACCTCAATGGACCAGATGACTTTCCATCACTTATGCTTAATTTGACATGAGAAAAGACAAGAGTACATAATATTCTTATATATATATATATATATATATATTACTCATTCGAATACACCACTATTCCCAGTTTTTCCCTGAAGAAGAAGAAAGGTCCACGTTTCAAAAGCACTCTGGTCATTTTTTTCTGACATCATTAATATTCCTAAAGGATAGGGCAAACATCTTTCAAAGCATGAGGCTAAGAGCCTAAGACTATCATGAAATGTGTATCATGCTTAAATTTTGCCATGTGTATGTGTGATGTTTTATATAAAAGTAACCAATTGACTGAATATTTTTTATTACTTTGCTTTTAAAAGTACCAATTTGTATATGCTTACATATTTACTCAGGTGAAATGAAATAAGTGTCTAAGTGGAACTGATTTCTGCATAATTTGTCGGTCTGCTATTGTTTTAAAGATATTTTAAGCAATTAATCATTGATGGGTTATGTTAAACAAATTATCCAACAATTAGTACTCACATTGTCAGCATAACTATTTAGTGTTACATGTAACTTGTTTAAAAAACTATCAATTTTAATTGTATGATGCATTGTAACTATTGTAAGTTCCTTTTTTTGCTTCTTTCATTTAGTTGCATACACTGTATAAAGCAGAAATGGCTTTTACCAGAATTTTCATTTTGTGTTTGCTCATTACATTTTGTTGGTACCAGGGGGTACTAACACAGTTGAGCACTGATCCAGAAAAGCTTTTGAATTGGTGTTTAGACACTCCACATCACAAGAGTAGGCCAGGAAAGGAGTCATCTTTGTATAATCAAGTAAGTAAATATTTTAAGGATGTGTTTGGAGGTTCATTTGGTACCCAGGAATTTGAAAATAGTTCTAACCTTCAAAGGTTTCAGGTGGCATTCAAGCACTGTCAGTTTTTTGTTTTTTCCCCCTTGTTAACAAAAACTGTTAGTGTTCGAATAGTAATCACACATTAGATATCACTCATGGAAATTTTTGATTAGATTAGTGCCCATTAATTAAATAGTTCTATTAAAATATACACAGACCACCAAAATGTTATCATCTGACTGCCAGTGGAAAAGATGGCTGTCTAATGTCACGTACTATGAAGAATCAAATTGCAAAAGCTCTTAGAAAAACATCCAAGCATTCAACATCTTAGCAAACTCCCCAGATTTTGTTCAAAATTTTAAATGGTTGAGTCAATGACTGTTTTTGCTGATAATTCTTTATGATAACTTATGAAAGTAAATCTGTATTTGTGTGTTGATAGCATTCAAATAAATAAATTGGATTGATTTTTTAGTGGTTTGCATAGGTTCATTCATTTTGTTAATGCTCATTGGTTTATTGCATTGCTTTATCATTGATTGAATGACATTTATTTAATGTTGTGCTATATCTGACTAATGAGCTTAATGCAACACTGCTCTGTCCACTGATTTTGATTTATATTGCTCTTCTGTCTGAGATTCCATTGATTATTGCTGTTCATTTTCATTGATATTTCTTTTGTTGTTTTTTTATTAATGAGCTCTCCTTGGTCTTGGTACAGTTATCCATTCCTGTTGATGAATTTCCATTTGTGTTATTGTGTTGCTCTTTTCATTCATAAATTAGTCCTCATTGTTTTTTGTTGTGTTTTTGCACTGGTGCTCTTTCTCATTGTTGGAATGACATTCAACTATTGTTGCTGCTACTTCTCTTTCATCAATGAGATGGTACTAATTTTTTGTGTTACTTTTCTCTTTCACTGATTTCTCATTGATTTATTATACTGCAATTTTCAATCATTGATTTACAATTGGCTTACTTTCCTTGTTGATAGCTCTCGTTGGTTGTATTGTATCAGTGATACTCGTTAACTAACTATTCAATGTTAATGGTAGTAGTTCCCATCAGTTTACTGCATGATATTGATGTTATTGCTATATTAATTGATGCTTTAGAAAGACTGATATGGGTGGGTAAGTTGAGATACTCCAAGGTATGTAGGTCTGCATATATGAATTTTTATAATAGAAGATAACTTTAACTTGATAAAAACAACTGGTTAGATATAACTTGGATTACTTTGTTCAGTTTTTATCTCCTTGTATTGTTGATTACATTCTAGACAAGGTTTCAGGAATGACACATAGTTTAGAAAGTATGAACTGTTTGTAGGATAAACATAAATAGTTGTTCTGGTAAGTATGTAAAAACAAATTTTAGGATTTGGTTAGCCTACCTATGATTCCTAAGTTCTTAATGTTCATATTGTTGTGGGTATTAGAAAATACTAAATATAAATCTTAGGAAAATCAATTTAGTCTTGTTCTAAGGCACTATTATTTCTGTTACGATCAGAAATTCATGGAATAGTATGCAATATGATAATGTGTTGATAGTTTAGATTTGAAGTTTTTTTTTTAGGTTGGTATATAAGTACTTAAATTTCCATTTAGTTGAGCTTGTTTTGTATTCATTATTTAAGGATAAGGGGTGACTTTACTAGGTCAAATAGCCCGTTGTGATATATGTATATGATGGTATACTGCATTAACTCTTGTTTGGAAATTGTTAGAATGAACAAACATTAGGCTAATACGTACATTATGTCTCTTTCTGTGTACTATTATTTTCTGTGAAGTACTTTTCTCCTTTGAAATTTGGGAGGTAGTTGAGAATTATCATTACATATCAGGTTGGAGAGGGAGAACTCTGTACACTGTTTAAGATGTAATCAAACATGATATCCAAGTTTCATTAGACTTTTAGACACTTACCTTGACAGAGAGCAGATCTGACTGAGTGCATTCTTACAAAGACATTAAGACATTCTGAAATTCTCTTCTTTAGGGACCAAGGAGGTAGTAGTAGTATTTAAAAGTTACTTTAGAGTTAAATACAGGGTGTTCCAAATTTATCTTTCTTATTTTAAAATTGAATAATTAAATACTAAGGAAATACAACCATGCAGTTTTCAACATCTTGTAGCCCAACTCAAAGTTTTTATTGACATGTCAGCAGACTTCTACATGTGCACCGTTAGTGGCCTTCAGCACACCTAACCAATATTTGATTTCAGTCCACATTTGTTGCAGCATGGTCATAGTTACAATGGTGATGGTGTACGTTCTCCTGGTCTTTAGCTCTGAGATGGTTGCTATAGGTGTGCAATGTATATCCTAAACATACCCCCCATACTGATTATCTGTACTGAAATTTGTAATTACATTGCACCACAGTCACTGACTTGGTCTGTACAAGCCAAATGATGCATTCAGCCTTTTCTTGCATGATTACCATTTTACAGGGTAACACTGCTTACTGAAATGAAAAAAAGCATGACAATAAAATTTGTTTGAGTTGGGCTACAAGATATTGAAGAGTGCATGGTTGTATTTCCTTAGTTATTTAATTATTAACTGTTAAAATAAGAAAGACAATTTTGGAACACCCTGTATAATAATCAACCATTAACTTTAGTATACCAAAGCATAAATATTTAAATTAAAAAATACATTGTCCTATGGAAAGTTGAGTATAACACTGCACTTAAAAAGCCCATTTTCATGATATATTGTTCCTTTGAAATAAAGAATCTTGTTTTGCTTGTTAGACCTTAAACTAGTCATTTCTATTTATTGTTATTATTATTAACAAACGGAGCCAAATCATGGATTTGGTTTATTTCACTTTAATGTTAATTATCTATTGTAATTAATATAAGTATTCGTTATAATCAAGCACATGAAGAGAACACAGTCCTGTAGCATCAAAAGCACTTTTTTTTATACTCCCTTTTAATTATTCACATTTGTTTATGGTGTAACTGTTTCTTCTCTTACTGGTTTATTACAACTTTGCATAAAAAGAAAAATGAAGACTTTGAAAGCCCGGATTAACTTGCATTGTTTTCTTTACAGTGTAGTCCATGGAAGGATCGATCATGTTGTACAGAAAATACATCACAGGATGTTCATACCAAAAACATGTACAATTTCAATTGGAATTTCTGCAAGCCAAATTATACATTATCTGCAAAATGTCAACGTCATTTCATTCAAGATTTGTGTTTTCATGAATGTGAACCTAACATTGGACCATGGGTAGTAAAGGTTAGAATAAGGCTTGTGAATTTCTTAATTATTGTTAATGCAGAAAAAAGTTGGCAAATATGCAAAAAAGTATACCAGTTTGTTTTCTCTAGTAATGTAAGAGTTTGAATTTAAAATGCCTGAATCTATAAGCAAGTTATTCATAAATTTTGTATACACTCTTAAATGTACTTGAGCATTTAGTGTTTTATGATGAAAATATATCTGTATAAAGTTTGATAGTGGGGTAAAAATCATTAAGAACATAATGAGCAGATAGTTAACTCTAGAAAATGATTATTGTTTTTAAAAGATAATTTACAAACAGTCATTACTAAACTTCATACACTTGTACAACTGTACTTGAATATTTATAAAATATACCTCTGGAAAAGTTGCCACTAAAGTTTAAAATAATTAAAAGATAAGGTTTGTAAGTCTGTTAAATTTCTCTTTTGCCACTTTTCTAGGTAAACAGAAAGATTGCTAATGAACGATTTTTAAATGTACCGCTGTGTAAGAGCGACTGTGAATCCTGGTGGCTAGCATGTGCAAACGATTTCACTTGCGTGTATAATTGGCCAAGAAATTTTGCTTGGATAGATGGTAGGTTATTTGTTTCAATGTATAAAATAATATGTTCTTTTGATACAAGACAAAGACCACACTTAATAGTTAGATTATATGTTGTCAATAAAAAAAAAAATTGGTTGAAACATGTATTTTTCTTTAAGTTATTTACTTTTTGTTCTTGGAAATACACACCTCTGGACATGCACTTGGCAGAAAATAGCTATTTTTAGATATTGGCTTATTTGAAGAACATCTTATTAAGTGAATTTTAAGTTCTCTCTTGACTAGTTACAAAACATTCTTGGATGTTGCTATAGTGCTTTTTGAATTTTATTCTTGAGGGATGTAAAGCTACAGCTGAATGGGGAAGAATGTTAAGTAATACATAATGTCATGATTATGTCACCACTGAATATTAGATTGGAAAAATCTTAGATTATGTGTGAATAATAATAATAATAAAAAAACATGCACAATACTGTGTGTAGCAATCAGTGAAAAAACTACAGTAAATGGAACAAACTGTCAGAGAAACTAGTTTTGACACATTCATGCCTTAAGATGAGACTGAAGAGGATGCACGAATGTGTTAACTAGTTTCTCTAATATCAGACTTCTGACAGTTTGTTCCATTTACTGTGGTTTTTTTTACTATGTTTGAATAGTTAGCATGCTATGGTATTATATAAGTGCTAGATTGGAAATAAAGATACACATAAGTGAGGCTATAATACTATACAGGTGCTATGGTGGAAAGAAGTTGTACATAAATGGTGGATGTTGCTAATGGTTTGGAGATTAACATAATTACTGTAATTTCAGGAAATAATCATTGCCCAAAAGAGGCAAAGTGTAAGCCTTTTTATCAAGTCTACAGGGATTCCAAAGATTTTTGTGAAAATGTAAGTATTATGGTTAGAAAGTACAAAAAAATCTTAAATTACTTTAAATTCATAGCATCAGAAAATTAACACTAAAACTAAGTATTATAAAGAAAGTGGAGTACAATATATGAATTATTTAAAAAATGCAAACCAACAATTCAAAGGACAACCACAGCCAAAATAAAGTTGTAGTGGAATAGCATGTATTAGTATTGCATACTGAAATTTTTTGGAATTTTGTAGGTAGTGTAATGGCACCAAAAATTTATTGATTTTGGAAAGGGTTTGTAAGAGTCATTTCTGATACAAGATATTTGTACACTTGAATCTTTAAAGATGTGGATTTAGAATTTCCAAGGTGGGCATATCACTCATTTTAATTGCATTGGAAAACAAAGAAATGTGGATTAACCTGGGACACCAGGACATATTTAGTGCAGTATTTGCGAGAAACTAATTTTAAAGTGTTATTACATGCATTTATCTACATATCTATCTATATACTACTAAAACTGAGATTGTTTGTTTGTGTGCTTGTCTGTAATTAAATACAGCAAAAACAGTGCACAATACCACCATATTTGTAATGAAATGAGAATAGAAACAGAATAAAACGAGTTTCGTTAAATTGGGCCACGGGTTACCGAGTTACCTGATGAATCACTTTAAAATATCTTCCATACAACAATATATGCACAACAGAAATTAAATGAGATGAAAATGTGTTATAAAGGCGTGTAGAAAGAACAACAATAAAATGGACCTACAATATTATTGATTATTTGCAAATAGTAACTATGGAGACGAGGTAATAAAATAAAAATCAAGTTGAGAACAATAAAAAATTTTATAAACGAAAATCTCTGGACGAGCATTGGCTATTATATTATTTCCCTGCTAATGTTCCCATTGTCATTAAAAGGCGTAAGATGACAAAAACAAG